AAACATCCGGTGCGGTTGCACCACGTTGTGGCCGGCGTCGGTTCCTCCGGCAGCGACGCTCATTTACCAGACTCTTGAGCGCACCACAACACATCGTGAAGCTCCTCCATAGTTTGGCGAGTAATGACAGCTGAACCCGTTGAGAAGTAACCGCATTCCAGAGGCGAGGGGAAGGTTGTTTGGGAAAGTACCATGGCACCCTGCAGCTCCTCTTACTGACAGATGTTCCAGGAGCTCTTCAAATACCATAAAGCCGTAGCCATACTGCGTGGACATGGTACAAAATACGCGGTGTTTGGTGCAGACAGGATGAGAGAATTATCTTCGAATAGGCCTAAAACATGCTCGAAGGCTTCGTGCACGTGTGCACTGAACACGTGAAATGACAGTGTTTTTGAGACCATCGGGACAGAACCGTCTTTCAAAGAACAGACATTTCTCAGGTAGTGCCCACAGACTGTGTCTACAGGAATCGAAATGCGAATGCGCGGGAGAGCGAAGTGCACGTGCCGTCCTCCCCTCCTTATCACGTGCATGCGCGGAGTGCACGGCGAGGCGCCCATTGGATGTGCCGCAGTCTTCAGAATTCCTCGCCAGAGGAGGGCGAAGACTGAAAAGGGAAGAGCTAAAAATTACACCATCTTCCCGAGGGGAACCATGGGGTGATGCGGAGCATCGTTCCATCACACTTCATCGGAAGAACGGAGTGAAGTGGAGTCAACAGCGGTGAACTGAACGCGCGCAGAAATTGGTTTGCTCTTTATGTTTATACAGCCTTGATGGAGATGCGCCTCAACGGGTAATCGGTCTCTTAGCTGTAAATGAGAAATTTAGCCAGTGCAGTACAACCGCTAACCTGGGATTCTTAACGTGCATCACGCAGTAGTCATCACACGAACGCGTGCCGGTACGAAACTCATCCAGATCGAAACGGGCGGGGGTGGCGGGGACTCGAACCCAGGAGGTTCTCAGCGCAAGCTTTCGCTCCACGCTCCGAGCTGAGACGCGTTAGCCCACTCGGCCGTGGGAACAGTCGGTCCTTCCTCCCCTTGAACGCGCGCAGCGCGCTACCGCTGCTTATAGGGAAGATGGGGCACTTCTACATTTGAGAAAAAACGCTCTAATTGCATTCATTTGGCCTTTAGAATAACAGATATCGCAATTATATTTCAATGCGACGCGCCGGAGAGCCATAAGAGCAATTTGAAAATAGGGCTGAAGCCCCGCCTCCCTAGCCTTGGCAAGCCAAAAGATCCGTCGATGACGTCACGTACAGCGACTATCTTTCGCGTTTTTCTCGCGTTTAACAATACTTGCGCGGCAAATGGTTTTGGTATTCGGGTTCACGAGGTAAAAATACACTAGAATTCACTTCTAACTCATTTTTTTTTCAAGAAATAAGCTCCGTAGCTTCCCTTTATATTCAAACTTGAAGGAGAAGAAACTAGAGGAGGAGAGTTGCGCCTGCGCGCACGGTGTGAGTAGAAGCGAACGCACGCGAAGTGCACGCAGCTGATAGCTGCGTGCACTTCGCGCAGCTGTTGAAGAGAGAGAGAACGCACGCGCAGCTGTTGGAGGGAGGGACGCAGCTGGTAGCTGCGTGCACTTCGCGCAGCTGTTGGAGAGAGAGAGAACGCACGCGCAGCGAGGAGAGTTGCGCATGCGTAGTGTGAGTGCGGACTACGACGCCGCGGGACATAGCCCGAGCAAGAGATGCTCCGCATCTAAAACAGAAGCACCTGCCGAGGATGGCCGTGCTGGACGTGACAAAGGGACGCCCGAGAAGAGAGGGCGACATTTGGCAACGGATATCATGATAGACAAGCAACGATATCGCATTTCGACGTTGTCTGCAGCGAGTGATCACAGAAACACAGCCCACTTCATTTCTCTTAAAGCTCTATTGCATCCTTTATTATAGAGCTTCTCCTATTCTTCTCTTCCTCTTTCTTTATCTCGCTCTCGCTCTTCCTTCCGCGCACGTTTGCTTTGAGCGTAAACATATGCGCCAAACGTATACGGGATTGTGCGGCCAAGAGAGTAAAGTGTAGTAGAGTGTATTCGTCAATCTACTCAGCTCCGTACAAAAAATCAAAGCGTAGCGCGTGTATAGGCTGATTTGAGAGTCCTTAACTTTTAGAAGTCTTAATAAGAAATCTTATCAAAACGTTTTTTTTTGGCTGTTGAATCTATGCCTAAAGCAGATGAAGCTGATTGCTTTTGCTGATTGTCGTGTGTGGGCTCTAGTGGCAGGCGTAATGAATGCTTTCAAGGAACATATAACAGACTAGTTCCTGTCGAGGCGTTGTTAGGTGTGATAGTTCCCCTCCAGCAGGTAGTTTCTTCGCAATGTTCGACATGCTCCGTTTTAACGTTTTTGTGTGCTACGTTGTCAGAGCTGGAAGCCACGCACCATAAGCTTCCAAAATGCTGCAGTTTGCCTGCAGCACTGTGGCTTCGTCTTGAGCGCCTCATTCGCACGCACTGTCGTGCGAAGGAGACACCAAACGAAGTACCTCTGACAGCTTTAGAGTACTGCGCTGACTACGATATCCTTGAGGACACAGAACAAGAAAAAGTTGACAGCAATGTACAGTTTTTGGAATTCAATTATGAATGTGTCAAAAACCTTCGACGATCTCTCGACTAAAGAATCCCTTGGCAATTGGTCATCAACCTTCTCAGGCGCACTATCAATAATCCCTTTGCAGCGATAATTCTTTTTTTCATTTAGGATAAACTTGGCGTATGTTTAGAACCGAACTCACGTAAGTTTATTTGCTTTCAAAAATCAGATGTGCAGTTTTTATAATTTTAACTGAAACGCTTTAAAAAAAAAAAAAAGTTAGGCAGTCTACATTTTGTTTTAAATCCGCTTTAGCTCCCAATGCTCTTCGCATAATGTCTCTATTTAATATATAGGGACAATATGAGCTTTTTGATTGGAGCAAGCAGTTAATTGGAACTAATATGTTGCGCAGAAAGCAGGAGCCCGAGTGGAGGTGCGAGTGAAATTTGTGCAGGCTGAGTCATTTTTCAGTCACCCGGAAGTTATGTTGTTGTTGAAAAGGGGTTACAAGGTGGCTAGGATTGCACCTTAATGACCTTCTTGATGTAAGAACCGCGTAGAAAGAAGGTGACAAATATTGTCGATAATCAGGCACCATAGGTCTTATAATCTTCGGAATATTTAAAGGTCAAAGCAATACACTGCATCATCGGTTTCAAAGTAATTAATGTATCTTCGTGCGAAAAAACTGAGACGTGCATCCTGGACACATCGTTTTTTACATTCAAGGGGGAAAGATGTACGATTTCTTAAAAGAATGGATATTTGAGCAAGTTGGTAGACATATTAATCTTGACTTGCCCGATTAAAGCGATTAACTCGAGACGCAGCCGATCTAACGAGCTGAGGAGACCCATCAATCATCCTCAAAGTTGTTTCTGTACCTGGTCCATATTGTGGGCTTCAAAACGGTTTAAAAGTGTTCGAAGACAGGTGGGACCGTTGGGAAATTAGCTTAAATATCGCCAAGTATAAACACACGTGTTTTTCTCACTGTACATTTTCCCCGACCGAATATAAACAGAGGAATGTTATACCTGAGCATGTAGAAAATTATAAGTGCCTGGGAGTTCATTTGAAGTCCATTTTAAAGTAGAATGATCACGTTGATAACACTGCTGTAAAGGCTAGTAAAATGTTGTATTTTATTCGCAGGCATTTTAATAATGAATATCGGGGTGTAAGACAAGACAAACATTATACTTTTCTTTTATTCGACCAATTTTAAAATATGCTCGTGTGATCTGGGACTCGCCGTAAAATTACGGCGAACGAAAGTTTGACCGGGTTCAAAACCAGGCGTTGCGGTTCGTTACAGGTGACTACAGCCCTTACACAAGTTGTAAAAAAATGAAAAACAGATTACGTTGGGATTCACTCAAAGAGCGAAGAAAGTGCGTGAGAATGAAATTCTTTCATAACGTGTATTACGGACGGACTGGCATTGAAAGAAGCCCTTACATTTTTTAACCGCACTATGCATCTAAAAAGCGGAATCATTCTTAAAAAAAAAAAAAAGCTTTTTTTTTTTTTCGTTACAATACTGACTGGTTTTCATTTTTTGTTCAAACCATTAGAGAGTGGAATACACCTAAGGGAGAACTTGCATCTATTCCTGATAAGTATCTGTTTTATTTTTGTTTCCGTGTATCTATTGTATGAACATGTACAGATGCTTCCTGTACCCCCCAGCCTAATTTCGAACGGCGCTGCAGGTATTCGTGTAAACAATTATCTCTGAGCCTATTATGTACAGCAAAGGCCCGTTGACTTTGGATTTTGATTATTTGAACGGTCCCATTTTCTCGTAACGTTGGCTTCGTCTGGACCTCACGTGAAACGAAGTATAAACACGGACGAAGTGAGAGGCGCTGGGCGAAACAAACAGCGTTCGTTTCGTCCAATCTCTCACTTCGTCCATGTCTAGTAGCGCTGTTTCACAATGCGTCCGTTTTCTGCCAGCTCTTGGAGGACCCGCCACGAAAACTTGCACCGGCACGATGAAAATAAATATACTTAGGAAATAGAATGTCCATAATCGAGGAAATCGCAAAGAGAGGTCTGCTTGTGGCCAGTGTCGCTAGACTCGGATCCCGCCGACCGCTGACTCCGACCCGCAAAGTAGTGCCAGCGCTCGGCGCAGCCCTGGTTCGCCGAGGCTGCATCCGTAGATAAGCGGCTCTCTTTCCTCTCCCGTTCGGTGGGAGCCGCCGCGTCAGCAAATATGACACTCTTTAGAAACTCAAGTCCGACTACTGACGGTGCGAACCTCGCGGGGGCTTGCGCGCCTAGTTTTGTTGCCTTCTCACCCCGAATTTTCACTAATATACCAACAAAAATAAAGAGTAAGACAGCTTTTCTGATACACGCGCACCGTCTCGTTGACGCCACGGGGTCGCTTTATTCCAGCCACGTATTTTATTTGTAATTTCTTCGAGCTTTTTTTCTAGCTCAGGCTTGGCGCAATTCAAGGTTCACCTAGAAGAACCTTGCGTCAGGCAAAGACGCTCCGACTACTCTAGGGTTTCTTTCGTTCGTCGTCGAGTCGAGCGAGCCCACGCGACGTTATAGCGACCAATCAGAAGCGCCGGTTGTCTTCAGCAACGGTCAGCAGCTGGCGTGTCTGTCTTCCGTCCTTCGGCTCTTCTCAGCACGACCGCTACGTGTCGCAGTGTCGTTTTCGCGCAACGTGATCACGCAGTTGCTCTCTGACTGTGGCTAGAGCAGTTTTTTTTTCGCGAAGCTTATCGTAGTCCCAACAAGTAGCCGCTCCCGAAAATCACCCTGGTGTGTTCCCAGCGCACGCAAGAAGTCATCTGGCGTGGAGTCCCACCGGCCGTCCACGCTTATATCTCAAGGTAAAAAACGAAACGCTGCCGTAGGACTATCTCGCCCTCATGTTATCAAGTGGGAGGTTCAACTGGACATCTCCGAGCACCGGTAGCGGTCTAGACTGGGCGCTATCGCTGTTGTGCGCTATGATAAAACGTATCGAACAAGTTAAGGATGGTCGAGTCCGGTAGCTCGTATGCGTATAGCTATCGGCCCTTTGTGCTATCGGTGTTTCTAGATTTAGATAGACGACCTAATACGTCGCTGAACCCAAGTGTCAGCGCGTGTTATGCGCAGACAGTGATACGTGACGAATACTAATATCTTACGTCCATAATACCGAGGGTGTTTATACTTTTAAGGTTATTAACTTGCTTTTGGCGGTTCATGCGTGGGCCGTTTTTGCTCTAATCTCGCTCTATAGGGATTGTGACATCTGTATATTTTTTTTATCAAATCTGTTTCACTATTTTGTGTGCGTGCGTGGGCGGAAGTTAGCTAGATTGCTGTGTTACCTGCGTAGTGTTTATAGGTATTTTGTAAAAACAAGAAACCAAATATTACTTTATGATTAATATTTGCTCGTGGTCTCGATACCCGAGCTTTAGGGCAACGCGGTAGCGGCATAACATGACTCACGTCACGTTGACGCCTTGCGAAGCCAGTTTCGGCTTAACAAAATTTCGAGCGTTCTTAAACGGATCTGCCGACCGTTTATAGTCGCAAGTGAGCAATCGACGTATTTTATAGTCACATCTTAACCGTGCTCTCGATATTTATTTTTCATCTCATAATTATTTTATTAAGATCTAATCGTTGTTTTGTATAAGCTTTTGAAAACACACACACACACACCCGTGCGTGCGTGTGTGTGTGTGCGCGTGTGTGTTTTTGCGCTTGCTGATAAAGTCGTTCTATACGTGTAATCTATTATTTTACATTGGTTTTGTTAAAATATTCGAAGTGTCGGAGCCTTCTCAAGCCGAGTTAAGTGCACCGTAGTTGACTGGTGGAATGCCTGCTCGTCTCGTTATTTTATTGGTGTTAGTTTTCTAGCAGCCACGCGCCTTTTTTAATGGCTGCCATTGAGCAAAGAAACACTCAACGCTGTTCCGCGGCACCAGCAGATTTTGCCGACTGCAGCGATATTAAACCCTACCACCCGCTCACAGATCGTACCTTTCCCGTCGATGGTGGTCAAGCGTAATGTTGTCAAAACCTCGTTAGCATTTTTATTCACAAATTTTGATATGTCTGTGGACACGTTCGTTGAGTTTTCGTCTGGTGAGAACATTCAACGTATACCAATGTACCCTACGTGTCTGGAAAAAAAAAAACGGAGGAAAATCGTAGAATCTCAGAGCTTCCTGAGAATTTGTAAGGCTTGGAGTCAATTCCATCCTGATAAAATGAAAACAATCTACGGTATCTACACTTTCGCTTCGTGATTTTATTTTTGCATTCGAAGGAAAAATGTTTCACTTTGTGTTTCCTTAGATCACTTCAACCACATGAAGTGCGCAAACCTGATTTAAGAACCATATTGAGTCATTGAAATAGTTTTAGACGTAGGTGGATGCCGCTGTGTCGTAGTGGGGCTTAGGGCGCCTACATGTCTGTCTGTCTCAGGGTGAATTCATGAATACAAGGCCTAGCATGTGCCAGCGCGTGACGCTCTGGCGCACTCGGTGCGCGACTTGGGCGATAAAATGGCGTCTATGCACTAGCCAAAGCTACGCGCTCGAGTTGAGTGACACCGGGTTGCGCGCACTTCAAAATGCATCAAGAAACAATTGGGCAGACAATGGGGAGTATTCACTGGCGGCCATATCCGTGTGCGCTGCTGCTAAGCGTGTGCTGACGGCGAGCTTCCGCAGTCCTTTTGGAGCGTGCATTTAGCACCATCAAGGCTGCCGGTCTTAGCAGGTTATTACTGTGAGTTCGTTCTGAGCATGCGCTCTAAACATCGCCCTCAAATATGGCGCCCAGTGAATACCTCCTATTGGCTGAGATGTCACCACTCCAGCAAAAGCGCGCGTGTGAATGAAGGCACTCTAGTGGGGCTGTATAACCTGCAATGCTGTTTGCACATGGTTGAAAAAAACCCGAGACTGCGGGTAAACGACACAACACTAAAAAGTCTCTAGAGACTTTGTAGTGTTGTGTGGTTTACCCGCAGTCTCGAGTTTTTTTCAACCATGTGCAATGTACACCAGCTCGTTAGCGCCCTTACTTTTTGTTCATCAATGCTGTTTGGTTCGGCGCTATCTAGCTAGTGAAGCAAGGAACATTGGGCACGCCCTGAAGTGGCGGCTGCACTGTTCAAACGTGAGTTATTACTTTGGTGGTGTTGTCTAGCCTAGTGTCTAGCAAGAAATGCTGGTTAGGCCAGGAAGCCGTGGGCGTATGACATGCGAGTACGGCAGAAGCTACGGCACGTGCGGGCCAATGAGAACAACTGAGTGATGCAGACGAGTACGTATCGCCGGAGGGCGCTTTTACTGCAAAGAAGATTTTTCGCTGCGTCATGCTCCAATTCCAATATCTGTGCGCTTCGCTCGCACAGGTAGCGCTTATCGGAACGCAATGTAGGGCACTGCGTTCACCCTTTGCCAAGTTGCAACGAGACAGGGTAGAAACGTGGGCTTTCACTCTGCTGGCGCCGCCTGGCCGTTGCCGGCTGCCTATTACTATCGTATATATCGGGTTATTATGCCATAACTCATCTTTTTATTTCGTCAATGTGCTTCTATGGCTCAATATTAAATTAAGCCAGCAAGCGTGCTTCGCTTGAAAGGCAACAGGCGCAAGCATATGTCGCATATCCGCGAACAAATTATGTCGTGTCAGTTGCTTCCTTCGGAATAGGGCGTGATACACATTTTCCTAATGCTGACGAGCAATTAATAATAATTATTATTATAACTACTAGTTGCTAGTGTGCCTAAACCGCCCACAACCCAAGTGTTGAAGTTTAACGTTGGAGTCACATAACCGAATCACGAAGCCATGCCGAGTAAATTTTGCACGTGAGAGAATTTCGTTTTGTCTTCTTCATCCATCTCGACCCCTTTCTAATTAGCCTGGCATTTAATTAGATCTTAATAGCAATGTAAAAAGCGAGGTCAATATCTAATTAGCATAGTAGCAAGATAGAGAACGCAAAAATTCAAACATACGACTTTCTTCGCAAAAGCGTGTGTGTATGTGTAGAATGCGCGCACGAGCGCGACATCGGCACGTTTCCGCATTTTGCGGAGAGAGGTCATTGGGAAACCTCTGACTCTAACTAAGTTGTTACAATGAATTAGTGTTGTCTAACACAATTTTATTTTTGACTACAACCTTAAATTTGTAAGAGCAAAGCAAGAAATTTCTACGATCGCATGTTCGTCCGATATGTGTCTGTGCAAAAGATATGCCCGTATAAACCTAGATACTCCAATTTCTTGCCAAAAGAATTTTTTTTTTTTTTTTACAATTGTTAAGGTTGGTTTAGGCATTTGCGTATGACGGTGTGATCGACGACGTTGCAACCTTCATGTGTCCCCTTATGCCGGATGGATGGATGGATAGATGGCTATATGGCTGAACCGTTTTAATTGGGCGGCGACTTGCGCCACCTAGCCGAAGCTTTTAAATCAAATACGTTGTAGAGAGGGTCCATCTCCAACCATGCATTGGGAGCGTTTGCAATTTAATGGCGGACGCCTACTGCGGAGATTGATCGCAAGTGCGCATGCGCTGCGTTGTCCCGTGGCAAGGAGGAAAACAGGCAGAAAGGCAGAGTTGTTTGCAGACGATCTTAGCTCGTATTGCAAACACGGCCAGTAAACCACGTGACCCCGATTGAGCAGTTGGACACTCTGCAAGACAGGCTCCTTACATCTATAGACGACACATTGGTGCCATTTATAGGGTAGCTCAGGCACACTTCCTAACTGCGTATAATTTACGCATCACTCTTTCATCGTGTGCCTTAAATAATTCTGACAATGTTATGAGCGGCCCCTTTCTCATAGGCAACGCGTAAATTTGGTCTCACGAATACTGCGAAACCTGCGGTCTAGAGTTATGGCCACTTTACATGGGTGCCGCCATCTTAGCATCACGTGACCCTGCCGTCATAGCTGACCTCCAGCTTCCCGTCAGTGCAGTGATTTTCTGCTATTCCTGTCACCACCAAAACGATTTTCGTATGTTTTTTTTTTTTCATTGAAATTACTTGGTTTTGTATGTATCGGGCATTCGGGTAATCATTTTCATTCATGTTTGGAGATATCAAGTGCCCCTTTTTTTAAGAAGTGAAATTGGACTGCGAGTGGGTTGAACTTGGCATGAACTTGACAGACGAACTTGGCATGAAAATACGTTGTTTCGAGCAATAATCAAAAACTTCCAAAATTTGCATCAGCTTACACCTAACCACCCGTCCGTGTAGCGGCGCCTGAGCTATCAGTTTTCGTATCAATAAAGTGTCATTCATTTCAGGCGCCGGTGCAAATGGCGCAGTAATTACCTCACTGTGGTCTGTGCGGATCATATAGGAGAGCGAGTTGTCATCAAGTGTTCGCGCTGAAGCAGACAAGGGGTGGGTTGTGCGCTTCGACAATGTTTACAAATACGGCATGATCGGTTTGTCGCGTTTCCCAGCACAGCTTAACCTGACGTAAGAAACTATTATAGTAACAAAGCATTTGCGTTCCCAAGCGCCCCGGACCGTACTCGAGGAATTGTGGGAACGGTGTTAATTCTGTTCCCTCGTGATTGCTAATTTCGACCAATTCGATGCTTACTCGCTTTTGATAGTAATCCGGTCATCCTGAACAAGCGTCGTGTAGATTGCAGAGATCTCCTTTAAAATGTCTTGTCAACGCTGTGCATGCAACTCACCCTTCAACCGGTCTGAGCTGCAAACATCTCTTATAATATCATCCTTCTCGTGATTGTTGGTCTAGCAGGAGTTGCTTAAAAAGCAGATAATTCACAACAACCCAAACCACGATTTAGTTCGGATTCAGCGGGG